ATGATGATGATGGCGAGAATGAACGTGATGATGGTGGTGCTGATGATGGTGATGGTAATGCTAATGATGGCAGTGATGACGGTGATGATTATGGTAACGGTACTGATGATGATGGCGATGATGGTGCTGATGATGGAAGTGACGGTGGTGATGATAATGTTGATGATGGTGGTGCTGGTGATGATGATGACGGTCATGATGATGATGGTGGTGATGATGATGACGGTGATGATGGCGGTGATGGTGATGGTGAGGATGGTGACCATGGTGATGATGGCGATGAAGACGATGATGGTGATAATGGTGGTGGTGATGCTGGTGATGATGGTGATGGCGATGACGAGGGTGATAACTATGATGGCGACGTTGATGATGCTGGGGACGAAGACAGCAACGAGCACGGTGATGATGGTCCGCATTGCTTTGTTGATGGTGGCAACGGTGAGGGTGAGGATAATCACGATACTGGTGGTGATGATGGTAATGGTGATGATGACGATGGTGGTGATAATGATGATGGTGGTTGTGATGATGGTGATAATGGTGGTGCTGGTGATGGTGATGATAACGATGATGCTGATACTGAAGATGATGGTAAAAAAAAAGGTGATGATGATGGTGGTCATGATGATGCTGGTGGTGATGATGACGATAATGATAATGATGGTGATAACAATCGTGATGATGGTGATGAGGGTGACGATGATGGTGATGATGAAGATGATGTTGATAATGATGATAGTGGTGATGATAACGGTAATGATGATGATGGCGACAATGATGGGGATACTGATGATAACAATGGTCACAGTGATCACGATGGTGATGATGATGGTGGTGGCGATGGTTTAGATGGTGGTGATGATGCTGCTGATGCTGCCGATGATGATGGTGATGATGGTGATGGTGGTGATGATGGTGATGATGGTCATGGCGATCATGATGATGACGGTCGTGAGGATGACGATGATGGTGGTGATGATGAAGGTGGTAATGGTAATGGTGGTGATGATGATACTGAAGATGATGGTGAGGATGATGGCGGCCATGATGATGATGATGGTGGTGGTGATGACGATGATGATGGTGATGACGACAATGATGATGTTGATGGTGACGATGACGATGATGACGATGATGAAGGTAAGCATGTTGATGGTGATTTTGACGATGGTTGTGATGATGCTGATGATGCTGATGGCGGCGGTGATGATGATGATGATGCTGATAATGATGAGAGCAATGATCCCGATGATGATGATGATGATGATGATGATGATGATGGTGAAGGTGGTGAAGATGATGACGGTGATGATGAGCATGATGATGGTGATGGTGACGATGCTGAAGATGGTGACGATGATGAAGATGGTCATGATGAAGGGGGTGATGGTGATGGTGATGATGATCGTGATGGTGATGGTTGTGGTGTTGATTATGGTGACGATGATGGTGCTAATGATGATGATGATGATGATGATGATGATGATGATGATGATGATGATGATGATGATGATGAATCCGCATTCTGGAAGGCATTCGGGGAAAATCGTTGCGTAGGAGGGCGGAGGCCTGATGAATCGGTTTCCCAGAAAGCTTTCATGGAACATGGTTTTGGGGGGCGTCTTGGGGAGCCTGTCGGGGCGTGCCGTCGTCGTCGCCGTAATGTCGTCGTCGCCTCTTGGGGCACGCCTTCGTCGTCGTCGTCGTCCTCGTCTTCGTCGATTCGTCGTCTTCGTCTTCGTCGTCGTCGTCGTCGTCGGATGGACCCCTCCCAGGATCCATCTAGCGCAGTTCCCCACTCCAGATCGAAGCCCGACGCCCCCAGGGCCCTAGAACGACCCCCGAAGGCAGAAAGCGCCGAACACCCGTTTCGAACATCGAAGTTCGAAGTTCGTCGTCGTTTTCGTCGCCGCCGCCGCCGTCGTCGTCGGCAGACGCCGGCAGAGAAGGCGATCAGTCATGTCCCCAGTCAACTTCCAAGACAGCTCTCCGGTAGCGCAATGGTACTTCGGAGCCTCCGGAGACTCTCGGGCCCGTGATGAACCATGTCCCCGGAAGGCTTTCTGGGACATGATTTGTTGGGGTGTGTGTTGGGGGGCCTCTTGGGCGTTCCCTGGGGGCCCCTTGGGGGCCTCTTGGGGTTTCCTGGGGGCTTCTTGGGGTTTCCTGGGGGCTTGGTTGTTTTGGTTTGTTGGGTTTTGGAAGCTCAAGTGCTCCCCGCGGCCTCCCCCTAGCACCTCCTCCTTCTCTTCCGGAGCTCCAAGATCCAAAAAAACAAAATAACCTGACATACGCAGTGTTTCCTTACATCCTAAACCAAGACAACCAAAAAAATACAAATACACAGCGTTTCCTTGCACCGAAGGCGCCAAACACTGTGTATGTTTGGTTTTCTTGCTTTGCAGCAAGGAGGAGGAAAGGGAAGGAGGAGGTGCTGGGGGGAGGCAGCGGGGAGCACCTGAGCTTCCAAAGCCAAAACAAAAATAACCAAACACACGCAGTGTTTCCTTGCATCCTAAACAAAAAAAGAAAAACAAACATACACAGCGCTTCCTTGCACCGAGGGCGCCAAACACTGTGTATGTTTGGTTTTCTTGCTTTGCAGCAAGGATGAGGAAAGGAAAGGAGGAGGTGCTGGTGGGGAGGCCGCGGGGAGCACTTGAGCTTCCAAAACCAGAAAACAACACAAAACAACCAAACATACGCAATGCGTCCTTGCATCCAGAGCAAAAAACCCTGAAAAAAATAGGAAAAAATGTTTCCTTGCATCGAGGGCGCCAAACACTCTGTATTTTTGTTCTTGTGCTACTACAAAGAAGAGGAAACGGAAAGGAGAATGAGGAGGAGGATGGGCGAGGAGGAGGAGGAGAAATTGTGTTTGGAGAAGGGGGAGGACGGAATAAGAGAAGGGAAGGATGAACAATAATATGATGAACGTGAATACGATTCAAGATAAAATGTATAATGTTGGGGGGGAACCATATATATGTATATACACACATATACACATATATATATATATACATACATGCTAAATGTGTGTATGTCTGCATGTATGTATGTTTGTGTTTGCTTGTATGCATGCATGTATGTACGTATGTGTATGCATGTGTGTAGTAATACATAAATGTGTTTGATTGAATGTATGTATGTATGTATGTGTGTATGTAAGTGTGTATGTGTGTATACATGTCTGCATCTGTATTTATATATATACCTATACCTATACGACCACCCTTCGGGTGATAAGGAGGTGAGGGGGGGGAGGGACCAACGTCGCACTCGATTTCATCTCACTATCGAACTCACTACCGATCTCACCTTCGATCTCAATCGATCGATCTCACAATCGGTCGGACTATCGATGTCACTATCGATCTCACAATGGATCTCACATTCGGTCTCGCTATTGATCTCACAATCGATCTCACAATCGATATCACAATCGATCTCACATTCGATCTGACTATCGATCTCACTATCAAACTCACTATCGATCGCATTATCGATCTCACATTCGGTCTCACTATCGATCTCACTATCGGTATCACAATCGATCTCACAATCGATCTCGCATTCGGTATCACTATCGATCTCCCAATCGAACGCACTTTCGATATCATTATCGATCTCACATTCGGTCTGGCTATCGATCTCACTATCGATATCACAACCGATCTCACAATCGATCTCGCATTCGGTCCCATCATCGGTCTCACTATCGAACGCACTATCGATCTCACTATCGATCTCAAACGATCGATATCACAATCGATCTGACTATCGATCTCACAACCGATCTCACAATATATCCCACAATCGATCTCACATTCGGTCTCACTATTTTTCTCACTATCGATATCACCATCGATATCACAAACGATCTCCCATTCTGTCTCCCAATCGATCTCACTACCGATACCACTATCGATCTCACTATCGATATCACAACCGATCTCACAATCGATCTGACATTCGGTTTCACGTTCGATCTCACAACCGATATCACTATCGATATCACTATCGATCTCACATTCGACCTCACTATCGATCTCACAATCGATCCGCATCACCATCAACAGCATCATCGGGACACCATCAACATCATCATCATCATCATCATCATCATCAGCACCATCATCATCATCATCATCATCAACATCATCATCATCGGGACACCGACGGGGCACCGACGGGACACGGGCGGGACACCGCGGGCCCCCGGCCGCCCGGAAGGGAATCATTTCGTCCGGCCGCGCCTCAGCCACACGGGACACCAGCGGGACACCGGCGGGACACCGCGGGCCCCGGCCGCCCGGAAGGGAATCATTTGGTCCGGCCGCGCCTCAGCCACACGGGACACCAGCGGGACACCGGCGGGACACCGCGGGGCCCCGGCCGCCCGGAAGGGAATCATTTGGTCCGGCCGCGCCTCAGCCACAGGAGACTTTCTCTCGCCCGCCCACGCAGCTTCGCCTCGCCCGCACGGGCACGCACGAACACGAAACCGAAATCGATTTCCCGGTAGGGGGGCTCTCCGTTCCACTTCGATCTCACCCCCTCACCTCCGATATATATATATATATATATACATTACAAATTATGTAGTAGTGCATGCAGATAAATGTGCACATGAGCACAATGGCGGGTTCCCGGAACCTTGAATTCAACAAACTTGACATATCTCGGGGGACATCTTTTCATTCCGCCAGCTTCCGCCCACGGAGGCGGCCTCGTTTTACTGCCACTGGCTTTCCGCCGAGGAAGGGGTGCCAACTCCGTCGGTCCTCGAAGGCGATGCCCTGCCTGAAGCGCCCATTATCTTTATTCATGCGTACACGCGAACACAACTTATATATGTAAACGTATTGTTATATGTATTTAAATATATGTATGCGTGTACACGTATATACGTATACTTTACATACAAACTGGAGGACGGCAGACGACGACGACGACGGAACACACAGGCCCCGCAGCGCGGCCGAGTCGGGCGCCGCCCCAGCCGTCGGCGGCGCCCCTGGCCACCGCCGCCTCTGGGCGAAGGGTCGGCGAAGCCAGGGCGGAAGCATTACGTCGTCGTCGTCGTCGTGGGAGGAGGAGCAGGAAGAGGAGGAGGAGGAGGAGGACGAGAAGGAGCAGGAGAAGGAGCAGACGGAACAACAACAAGAGGAGGAGGAGGGATCAGGAGAGGTGAGGAAGAATGAGGAGGGGTGCGAATGAGCAGGAGGAAGAGGAGGAGGGATGATGATGCGGATAATGCGGGAGGAGGAGCGGAAGGAAGAGGAGGATGAGCAGGAGGAGGAGGAGGGGGAGAAGCAGGAGGGGAGGACGAGGAGGGGAGGAGGAGGAGGAGGAAAAGGTGGTGGTGGTGGAGGAGGAGGAGGAAGGGGTGGGGGACGAAGGAGGAGGGGGGAGGAGGGAAGAGGAGGAGCAAGGAGGAAAAAGAGGAGGAGGGGGGAGGGAAGAGGAGGAACAAGGAAGAGGAGGAGGAGCAGGAGGAGTAGGACCAGTGGAAACCCGAGACGCATCAACGATGTTACAATAAACTTTCCCTCCGGATGTCCCTTTTCACAGGTCCCAGAAAAGTTGATCGTCATTGCGGGAAGTGGTCGATTAGAAGACAACCCTTTAAGAAACATCGATCGTGCCGACACAACATCCCTTGGACTTCAAATCCGCGCATCAACGTGACGGTTGCGTCCTGGCAACCGCCATACATCGTGACAAAACGCAGCCCCTGGGACTTCAGCACCACAAATCAACATAACTGCTGTGTAGGAACAATCCGAAATCGTGCCAGAACACGACTCCCAGGACTTCGGCCATACGAGCCCTCGAAACTGCTGCGTACGTGTACAGTCGGGGCGTTGACCTAAGGAACGATAAATAAGGAACGAGGCCACTTTCTCCCATAAGTTGAACTCCGATTTTCCATGTAATACCTCAGGAAAACCCAAAGAGCGCTGTAAAACAACTGAGGAGCGGAGCCCCTCCCAAACCACAAGGGTTCCTGCTTCAGCGGTCGGGCTGTACGACGAATGTGCGCGACGCAAAGGCGAGAGCCACATCCGTGGAGCTGCTGCAAACGTTCGAGACGCATGCGCGCGGCGCTCAAGCGATAGCCGCATGCCGAAAGCCACCAGCCCTCCGTCCGCGGACGGGCCGCAAACATTTGGGGACGAACGTGCGCGGCCTTAGAGCGAAGAGCGCAAGTTTGGAAGGAACAGCACTCTATCCGTGAAGCTGCTGCGAACTGTGAAGGCTAATGTGCGCAGCGCTGATGGGAAAACACGCATGTTGAAAACCACCCGCCCTCAATCCGTGAAACTGTGGCATAGAGAGCACCGCAACATCATGCATGGCGAGGAGGTCTCAGGCAAAACGCCTGGCCCGCCCTACCAACACGCCTGGGGGGTACGGCATGGATACATTACCAGAAAGGAAAAAGGATGGATGATGAGGACGGGGAGAAGGAGGGGGAGGAGGACGAGCAGGAGGAGGAGGAAGAGGAGCAGCATAATGATGATAATGATGATGATGCTGCTGATGATGACGATGGCGACGATGATGAAGACGATTGTGACGATGATGGTGATGACGGTGATGATGATGGCGATGCTGATGACGACGATGGTGAATATGCTGACGATGCTGACGACGGTGATGATGACGATACTTAGGACGATGCGGATACTGATGATGATGATGACGGTGGCGACGATGATGACGATGACGAGGACGAAGCAGATGCTGATATTGATAATGATAGTGGTGATGATGATGATGAGACTGATGATCATGACGATGATGCTGCTGATGGTAATGATGATGGTGATGATGGTGGTGACGATGCTGATGCTGTTGCTGATAATGGTACATAATGATGTTGATAAGGATGGTGATGATGATGCTGATGATGCTGATTATGATGATGATAGTGATGATGATGATGATGATGATGATGATGATAGTGTTGTTGATGATGCTGATGATGATGATGATGATGATGGTGGTGGTGGTGGTGATGATGATGATGATGATGATGATGATGATGATGATGATGATGATGATGATGATGATGATGATGATGATGATGATGATGATGATGATGATGATGATGATGATGATGATGATGATGATGATGATGATGATGATGATGATGATGATGATGATGATGATGATGGAGGAGAAGGAGGAGGAGAAGGGGGAAGGAGAGGAGGAGGAGGAGCAGGGAGTAGCAGGGATAACAAGGTGGAGGATGAGGAGGAGGAAGCGAAGCAAGATGAGGAGGAGTCAGATTAGGAGGAGCTGGAGAAGAAGGAGGAGGACCAGGATCAGGACGATGATGGGGAGAAGGAATGATGAACAGGAGGAGGACTGAGGAGAAGGAGGAGACAGCGGAGGAGGGACGAGGAGGGAAGACGAGAAGGTGGAGGAGGAGGAGGAACACGAGGAGGAGGAGGAGGAGGACGAGGAGGAGGAGCACGAGGAGAAAGAGGAACACGAGAAGGAGGATGAGGAGCCGGAGGAGGAGCAGGAGGAGGAGGAAGAGGCGGAGGAGGAGGAGGACGAGGAGGAGGAGGGGTGGGGGGGGGGACGCAGGAGGGGAGGAGGAGGGGAAGGAGGAGAAGACGTAGGAGGAGGAGGGGACGGGGGAGGAGGGAGGATGTAGAGAGAGGAGGGGCGGTAGCAGGAGGAGGAGGACGACGAGAAGGATGAGGAGGAGGGGGAGGGGGAAGAAGAATGATGATGACGACGACGGCGATGATGGTGATGATGTTACTGTTGATGATGATGCTGATGATGCTGATGCTGATGCTGATGCTGATGCTGCTGATGGTGATAATGCTGATGATGCTGCTGCTGCCGATGGTGATGTTGAGGGGGAGGAGGAGGATGAGGATGAGGAGGAGGAGGGGAGGAGTGGGAGGAGGAGGACTAGGGGGAAGAGGAGAAGGGGGAGGGATGCGGGAGGAGGGAGGAGTGATGAGGGAGTGAGAAAGGAGGATGGATGCGGGAGGCGGGCTGATGGCGATTATGACGGTGATGAGGATGAGGATGAGCATGAGGGTGAGGAGGGTGATGAGGCTGATGCTGATGATGATGCTGGTGATGATGGTGATGAGAATGACGACGCTGATGGTGATGCTGATGCTGATGGTGATGCTGCTGCTGCTGCTGCTGATGATGATGATGGTGCTGAGCATGATATGGTGGTGATGATGTGCTGTTCATCGTAAGCATGATAATGATGACGATGTTGATGGTGATAATGCGGCTGGTAATGGTGATGCGTATCATGATGAAGCTGCGGATGTTGATGCTGGTGGTGATGCTGCTGATGCTGATGATGATGCAGATGGTGTCGATCATGCCAATGTTGCTGATGATGCTGCTGATGATGATTGTAACGACGACGACGACGACGACGACGATGATGACGATGATGATGATGATGATGATGATGATGATGATGATGATGATGATGATGATGATGGGTATGATGAATACGATGGTGATGCTAATGATAATGAGGAAGGTGATGAATATGACCCTGATGGTGCGGATGATGATGGTGATGGTGATGATGATGTAGATGTCCAGCGGATCACAAAGAGAGAGAGAGAGAGGGAGAGATGGGGGGGAGAGAGAAAGAGAGACAGAGACAGAGACAAAGAGAGGCGCGTTGTTGCGGCATGTGTGGTGGTGCTTTCATGGTTGTGTACTCAGGCATGGACTTGCACGCAACCAGTGTGCGGTGTACACGCGTGCAACGCTACAACGCAAATGGGAAGACAACGACTCGAGGAACGACGATGAGGGGCCTGAACGCTGAGTTTCCTGCGCGACACGATCGTTTGGACTGTCGGGTGGCTTTCTTCACGTTGCCCTCAGGCGGAGGGGGGGGCACAGCTTCAAGAAGACGCGGACGAGGAAAAGGAATACGAGGAGGCGAAGGAGGAGGAGGAGGAACACGAGGAGGAAGAGCAGGTGGACGAGGAGGAGGATGAGGAACAAGATGGTGAGGGGGAAAGGGATGGGAGGAGGAGGAAAAGGAGGAAGCGACGTACCCGAGAAGATCCGTCCGACCGCCGACCTCGACCTCGGCCGACGCGATAGCATCAATGGAGCGATAATGGTCTCCTCTCTCGTTCCTTCTTTTCACTTTTCTGTCGGTTCGGGCGGGGCGTGGGACTTGGAATGGATGGGAGGGATCGATCGAGGCGCCTGATCGTCAGCACGATGCGGTCGAGGACTCTCCCGCAGTGCTCTGTGCCTCTGGGCTCTCCCCCGATGGGGGCGGGTGCCCGTCCTGAAGAGACAGGACGTCTTCTTCTTCTTTTTCTTCTTCTTCTTCTTCTTCTTATTAGTATTAGTATTAGTATTAGTATTACTATTATTATTATTGTTATTATTATTATCATCTGTTTGGCCTCGCTTGAGAGGTGATTCTTTTCACATCTGGTCTGCTTCGAGCGCCCTCTTTTTGTTGGCCCCGCTGGCGGCGGAACTGGCAAAAGGGTTACGACGCCCCTCGGGAGGCCGAAAACGAACCCAAGCGCCTCTCCCTCCGAGGAGAAGGAAGAGGAGGAGGAAGAGGGGGAAGAGCAGGCGGAGGAGAAGGACAATGAAGAGGAGGGGGGAGGAACACGAGCAGGAAGAGGATGAATGGCACGAAAATGAAAAGGATGATGACGACGATGAGGTGGAACAGGAGGGAACCGAAGAAGAGGAGGAGGATATGAGGAGCAGGAGGACAAGGAGGATGAGGAGGAGGAAGGAGGAATGAGGGTGAGGAGGAGGAGGGGGAAGAAGAGGAGAAGGGGGAAAGGAGCAGGCGGAAGCGGAGGGGGAGAAGCAGCAGGAAGATGACGAAGAGGAGGGATGAAGAGGGATGGTATTCAACGAAGGATGAAGGATGAACAAGAGGGATGACAAGGATGCGGGATGGTAAGGAGCAGACGGAGCAGGAGGAAGAGGAGGATGAACCGACGCAGCAGAAGGATGATGAGTTGGGAGGAGGGGGGGAG